GTAATGTTCGAATTCGCTAATATATTAGAATATTAATTATACAGTAATAGTGATAACTACACGGACGTTCATCACGTCCGGAGAGATGAAACTGACAAATTTTTATGCCGCAGCCTCTTAAAAAGCGGTCGGCATAATACTATCTTTGTTTCATTTTACTATGTACAGCGAACACAATATTATAATGCGTACAATGTAAAATATACATTGCGTTAGGGCGGCCATGACGACGTCATCCTTAGTGGAATACTTTGTGTATTTTGAATTATAATAGGATGACTGTTGAAAATAATCATGTTACTAAATAAAACGGTACACTACAGCACTTGATTTATACACCGCCATCAAGACTTTTTAACCTACATAAACTAATAATTGTTTATCAAATTGTCTCAGCTTGCGTTGTCAGTTGAGGAAATATAGCATTAATACAATGGAACAAATCTAACTGATAACTTCTATAACTTTTGATACAATCGAGATTTCATTGTATTTTTAAAAAATAATTTATTCATTCTTAGGTTACGTTAAAATCATATTTTTATTTAAAAAAAAATTTATTTTAAATTTCAAAATGACCAGTTTTAAACACTTTTTTTATATAAATGACTAATCGTTCGATAACAGTTTTAGAACAAGTAATTGAGTTATAAGCTTAAAAAAAAATATATATTTTCCGTCTTCTCTGTCACAAACAATATCAGTGGGGTAAGGGGGACAGTTGCCCCTTGGTCAAAATACGAGGGGGCAAAAGTATCATGTCCCCCAATGAAATCTGACAAAAAACATTACAAAAAATCTGGAAATTAATATAACACTAACATTATTATTTATTTAGCTATTCAGATTTTAGGATTAAAAAGTGTTCATGAATTTACCAAACTCCAGTTGAATATTAAAAAACGGTAGTACAGTGGAGTCGTGGAACAAGTATAGATGATATTTGAAGTGATTAAAATCACTATCATAAGAAACGCTTCGATGCAAATCTAAGATAGTGTTTAATTTTAAGAAATTGGTCGATTATTCCAAAAGCAATATAAAATCCTATTTTTTGTTCTACTTCGACTGCCATTTGCACATAGAAAATAGGTCCGTCGGTACAAAATTTGTAAAATTTAATTTTTATTTTTTGAACTTCTAGTACATAAAATAAGCTTTATTTTAATATAAATTTAAAAGACGCAAGTTTTCAAAAATTAATTAAAAAATTTCTACTTTTTATACAAATTTTGAATTTTTCAAAATAAATTTTCTTAACTTTGAAGAGTCAAAATTTTTAAAATAAGTATAAATTTATATTTAATGTAAGTTAGATTCATGTTAATTTTATATTTATTGGTGGATTTATTACTATTGCAAACCCTTATAAGGTATTTTAAAATAAACAAAAAATAAATAAATAAAATTAGAACACAAAAATAGCACATTTTTTTAACTACGGCAACCATTTGCACAAAAAGATAAGTCGTCGGGACAATTTTTTTGTTTAATTTTAGTACGTAACATAAACTTAAATTTGACATATGTTTTAAAAATGCAGTTTTTCCGGAATATTTTTAAAACTTAAGTTGCAAAAGTTGAGTTTTGTAAAAAAAGTTGCTATTTTAAATCACTCTCTGTGGGCAGGTAAAGGGTCAGATTTTCAAAAAAATTATACCAATTAAAGGAAAATGCATTAGGTTTCAATATAAAACAAAATATTTTGGTTCGTTTGTTATTCAATAAATTATGGAAGTTTTAAGCACTAAAATAACATTGATTTTTAACACGAATATTACTTTTCTGGTCAATTTTGTCAGTCATTGCACATAGAAGATAGGTCGTCAGGAAATTTTTTTTTTTATTCTATAGTACATAATGTAAGCTTTAATTTAACATCTGTTTAAAGAACGCAGTATTTTAGGAACATTTTCAAAAGTAGAAAAAATTCTACTTTTTATAAGTATGTTTCAAGTTTTGAACGACATCTGTGTATGGCCAAATTGGCCGATTTAAAAAAAAAGTAAGTCGGATGAAAGGGGTATATATAATGTATTTAGAAACAAAAATTTGTGTTGATCTATACATTTTTCAAAAAGTTATAGCCATTTAAAGTTGAAAATTTAAAATCGAAAATTTTACACACAAAAATAGCATGTTTTTTTAACTAAAACAGTCGTTTGCACGTAGAAGATAAGGTGTTAAGGCACCCTGTTAAACCGGACGTTAAAAATAATAAATGGTTAATGATAATCATTTTTATAAGAAAAGTGGTAAAGACTGGCTACTTTGAAATATTGAAAAATTCTAAATTAAGAATAGAAATGTTTTCAATTATGTATAATTAAAACAAATAATAATGAATATGATTAAAATGTAATTTGAGAATGCATAAATTATTTTTTAAAAAATTACATTAAAATTTTAAGTGTATCAAAAGTTATTGGAATTAAATCTGTTCTACTTTGTATAGGTATAAATTTGAAGGAATTTTGCCTCTCGTTATATATACCCATTTTTTTTGTATGTACTTGATAAGTAAAGCTTCTGTAAAGATATCCCTTTTTAATGTTTTGGTACACCCGAAACTGACAAAACTAGACTCCAAAAGGAAATTAAGATAAAATCTTGGCCTTTTATATCGCCCAACAAAAACAAAAGAATTTTACCGTTTAACAACTGCATAATATATACACAATTTGGGCAGTATCATAATTTCTTATAATTTGCTGTGACTTATGAATTACATAACTATTTCGTAGATAGATTAAAGTACGAGACTGACTTTTTTCAACCGCTCAGCTGATCTCACGGTCTTTTTTGTAAAGCATTAACAATCATTTTCAAGCATAACAAACGCGGGGGGTTGGAAATGTCTCTCCGCGTGGAGGCCCCCCACGAGTCTTCTCGTTTACTTCGTACGTTGAAGATGATAAAAATAAGTATCATGACAGACATCATGTGGCTGTATTATTAGTGTCGATCATTCAACCGACCTTGGATCATTATAAGGTCATTTTACGTCTAATAACTAAAAGCATGATGATAAGTTTTTAATTCTACTCTATAGAATAAAATTAAAAATTTATATTTTATATTTTTGTTCCTTATTGTACCTATATTTGAAGATTAAAGAAATGGAGGAAAACTATTTAAAAAAATTTTAAATAATTTTTAACGGGAGGGATAAGTTGTATTTATTTCAAAATAAAGATTAGTTGATACGCCTTAACTAAGGCCAAACTTATGTGACCCAACTGATATATTTATACTGTTTTTTTTATCACGAAAAAAAACTTTTAGAAGAACTTTTTTTGTCAGTTATCATTCCTGATTTTTTTATTAATTTTAATAATTATCATGGACGCAATTAAAACAAAAATTTTGAAGANTTATCATGGACGCAATTAAAACAACAATTTTGAAGAGACTCTTTATATATAATTTCTCCCTTCATATATATTTTTATATAATATATGTCTTTTCTGAAATTTTAGGGTTTTGAGTGATATTTAGCTGAGGCTATTTTCTGTCAAGCCCTTCTCCTAATTTACATTTATGGTCGTTATCTATATATATTTATATATTCACTTTAAATATATAAGAGGGATGGAATATTCTAGTTGGAATAAATTTGATTACTATGCTGGGATTATTTTCTGGATCCCTGCTTGAATTCTTTATCCAATTGTCAAATATCAATTTTTTAATGAAATAAGTGATTTATCTGTTGAGTACTTTATTAAACCATTTTAAATTTATAATTTGTATTTGTTCAGTAAATATTTCTATTTTTTGTGTACAGAAAGTAGTAGTGTTTGATAAAACGTAAAATCACTAAATTTAAATTTCAGTTATACTATAAGTATGTTAAAACATTTAAATTTCTAAGTAAAAATGTGGTAGTACCTAAATTTTACTTATAGCTAAATATCCACAACTGTGATTGTATCAATTATGTCCTGCGCACAGGATAATATTAGGCTAATATTTGTACATATAAATGGAGCATGAGAGCTTTGCTCCCATACCATGTGTATATTTTTTGTTTATTTTAAATTAACAATAATCATTAATTGTACAACGTAACCAGAATATATTCCCAAATATTTTTATACTGTTACCAAATACTTGCTACACCTCCTGTAAGTGTTGCAACAGTGGAACGACAATTCTCTACTCGCGGTCGGCTCAAGACATAGTTATGTGCAAACACGGTAAAGGAACAACTTACCGTACTTGCTTTGCTTAAGATTCATCGTAACATTAACATCGAAATTTATTATATAATAACAAAATTCGGAGGGAAAAGATCCAGAACAATGAACTTTGTTACTTAATTTATT